AATTGCTTGCCTGTGTCTTGGAACTGTAAGGCTAAACAAGTATTTTGGGATTGTAAAGAGTGGTGGGATTCCTGTATGACAAGAAGAGCAGACACACCTAGCCTGGCAGATAGTATTATTTATATCAATCTTCATAATCACCTCCTTGATAGTCATATGGGTTAGGGGGCCACCCTAATGCAACAACTTTATCTATCTGGGCATCATATAATATTCAGGTTTTTTTATAGCCTGATTCCTTGGACTGGAGAAATTATCTTGTTTCATATAATATAATAAGCTATTATGCTCAGAGAACATTATTTTGAGTTTCAGATTTAATGCCAGTATCCAAGCCCTAGACTAACTGAATGCTGGCCAAGTTCCAGTCTAAGGGCAGTACCAGCCACATATTTCAGGATCCAACAGATCTGACACAGGAATTGTATTAGTGGTCGATTTATAGTCGCATTTATTCTGTGGACCCAGACTGCTGCTCCATATAGTAGTTGAGACAGTACCTTAGCTGAAAGCTGTAATCGCTGCTGGAAGGCACTGTCCACCATTCCGGGGAGGGTGGTGTATAAATTGAATAAATAAATAAATTCCTATAGAAAAAGCACTTTATTGCTGTGCTACAGCAGATTGCTGATGCCATCACAGCCTTCACTGTTTCCAAGCTAAATGCACATCAAAAATTCCCCCCAGATATTTGAAAGACCTAACTTGCTCTATTGAATTACCTTCTAAAATCCATTTATATCTTTGTTCTCTTCTCACTTTTGTGAAAACCAGTATCTTTGACTTTACAGAGTTGTCAGAGCTTGTATCTCCCAACAGGAGATGGTGATAATAATGATACTTCATCCACATATAATAAAATAAGTATTTCTAGGGCCCAAAGTCTTGGCAAGTGAAATTCATCTCATTTAAGAGTGGGTGCTAAATCATTTAAAAATACATTCAAAAGTAGGGGAGCTATCAGATACCCTTGCTTGACTCCAGACATCATAATAAATTTTCTTATCATTTTGCCCTCTGGCCCACATCTAACCTGATATGTTGGATTATCATAAAACATCTGTATCAGTCTATGATCAATCATGGCTTTCCTGAGTTTTTGCCATAAACATGTCCTAGGAATTGAATTGAATGCTGATTTCAGATCCATGAAAACCACAAGTAGCTTTCCCTGAGCATAGTTGGTATATTTTTCTGCCAAATGACTTAAAATAAAACAGTGATCAATAGCTGAGTCTCCCAGTCTAAAACCTTCTTGCTCTAAACCCAGCACTGATTCTGAATTTATCCAGTCAACTAGCTCATAGAGGATGCATATAGTCTACTAATCACTAGTAACAAGTTAATTGGCTGGTAATTACTTGGATCTTTTCGTTCACCTTTCTTAAATATAGGGAGAGTAAAATACAGGGACAATCAAATATAGGAAACTAATGTTTCCATTGTTCTGGTATTTTACCAGTGCTCAAATATTGTGGATTACTCTTAAAAATTTCAGCTGATATTAGGTCTATTCCAGGGGCCTTCCTGTCATTTTAACCTGCTTCTAATCATAAGAGTGCTTTGTCAAAAGTCTTTTGAAAGTCCAAGTATATAATGTCCACAGGTCACCATCATCTACAAGTTTGTTCACTTCTCAAAGAGCTCCAAAAGGCTGGTGAGGCAGGACCTCCCTTTGCAGCAGCCATGCTGATTTTCCTTTAGCAGGCTGTTCCTTTATGTGCCTAATAATTCTATCTTTGATTACAGTTTCTACTGATTTGCCTGGGACAGACATTAAGCTAACTGGCCTGTAATTTCCTGGTTCCATTGTAACATTTGCTACTCTCTGGTCTTCTAGTATAGTGGCTGATTTAAGTGACAAGTTAGATGTACAAGTTAGCAGATCAACAACCTCACATCTGAGTTCCCTATGAACTCTTGGGTATATACCATCAGGACTTGGAGACTTTCTGGTTTTTAATTTTACCAGTAGATCTAAAACTTCATCTCGTGTCACCTAAATTTGACTCAGTTTTTCAGACTCCCTTCCTGAAAATTGTGGCTGAGTTTCTCTGGCATCACTCCATCTTCCTTTAGCAATCCTTTTATTCTTGGTCATCCAAAAGCCTAACTGTTTCTTTGGGTGGTTTCCTGTTCTGCTTTATGGAAAGAACTGCTTGAGTGCCTGAATTTTCAGGAAATAGCTTGTGACTTGTAAAGCATTTTGGGTCTGCTCAGCCTTTATGAAGCAGATCTAGTGGTCACGGTAAATTTAACCATCTGTAGGACCTCAGTGGTTAGAAGAAAAGGTCTCAGATGGATCATGTTGCCCTCTTTCTGCCCTAGCTAATGTGAATGTGTTTGAGAAGGAAAGGTGGGCATTGTTTAGGTGAAACTGGAGTGCTAAAGAAGTTCTGTTACTCCAGAACAGGCAGAGTCTGAACAGGAAAGAACCACAGAGAGGGACAGAACAAAAGACTATTAGCATAATTACTTGCCAGAATAAAGGGAAGAAGTAACCCACACAAGGTTATCCTACTCAACAGATTAAACGGGTCAATCTTTTTAAAACAAACTTTTTTAAAAGAAGGAATAATGTGTATCATTTATTTTCTCTTTTCTTTGCTTCTTGGTGAACTTGGCCCCATTAGCCTGCATGCAAAGAACACTAAATCAATTTTGTCATGAAATAGGATTATATAGTTGAAACACAGTGTTCATGTAATTTTTCCAGATTTTTTCTGATGTACCTAATTAACAAGGATGAAACGGAACACACTGGACAGGTAAGCAATCTCTCTGTTTATCTATGTGTATTTGTTTAAAGGGTTTATATTTGCCTTTCTGATATACAAATAACACACCAGGAGACTCACAGCATCAAATTACATGCTGATTTCAGAAATCTAAAAGGTCTTAAACATTAGCCAGTGGCAGAATAAGAACAATAATAAAAACAGGAAATCAAACTTTAAAAATACCAGAGCTAAAGGAGCCACCAGTAGAAGCCGTAGAATTTAACAATTTCAGAGAATAAAAGCACCAAATGTTTTCTACGATAAAATTATTTTCACAAGTTTTTGTAAAGCCAAGGGAAAGGAGCTCAACAGATCTCCTGGGGCATGCTCTGTGGGTCCGTGGCTGAAAGAAACCCTTGTCCTGCGCACTCACCAGCCTTACCTGTTGAGCAGAGACACAGAGCAGGGCACCAGCAACCAACTGTACAACACAAGCAGAGGCAAAGCTCCTTCAATTCTGATCCTAAGCTGTTCACAGGGCATTAAAACTTAAAACCAGCACTTTGAATTGAACCCAGAAACTAAATGGCAGCCAGTGCAGCTGACAGCACTAGGGTAATATGGTTTCTGATCGTTCCCCTTGCAGCCCTTTTCTGGTTCTGTTGAAGTTTCTGAGCATTTTTAAAGGCACATAGAGCATATCATGATAATGTAATCTGGCTGTTACCAAGGAATGATGACTGTGTCCAGATCAGCTCTTTCCAGGGACAGCTATGGCTGGAAAACCAGCATGTGCTAGTAAAAAACATTCCTGGATATTTTCATAAACTGCTTTTGAAGCAACAGAACGGAGTCTAGAAGTACACTAAGGCCATGAACCTGATCCTGTATGGTGGGAATACGATGCCATCCAAAAATAAATTGTAATCCTGGATCAATTTTGCCTCCAACCGTTTATATGTATTGTCTGGATTAAGTCTGTTCGTTTGTCCACATCTAATTGTTTACTGATTCCAAACATCATTTTGACCATTTCTCTAGAATTAATTCTAAGGAAGACAAAATTGTGTTGGCAGCATTTTAACACCGTTTTCTAAATCTCTGAGTAACATCTATGTGAAACAGTACAGTAGATGAGGTGGACCTGTGTGGAACTCTATAGACTGATGGCTGTGGGGAAGTACAGAAGTCCCCCAGCACAACCTTCTGTAACCTGTTTGGTGGGAATGACCAGCGCTACTGCAAATCAGTGTTCTCCTCAAACCTACCTAGGTGGTTTAGAAGGCTATCATGGCTGATGACATTAAAAACCACTGAGATCCAAGAGAACTAACAGGGATATTCTCCCCCAGTAAGCTGCCTAGCAAATGTATTTGCAGCAGGGTGACCAATACAAGTCCTGCACCTGAGCCAAGTTAGAAGCCAGATTCAGATACCACCACTCAGTCAAGCAACATTTCCTGCAGGGATACAGGGTGAAAGTTGTTTAGAGCTGAAGAGTACACTGGAGGCTTTTTAAAGAAAGGTTTCATTCCTGTTTGTTTCAGAACTTTTAGAAAGTTCCTTTTTTAAAAAAAATCTCTCTCTCTCAATTTCAGGAGTCGTATGTATGGAAAATGTATCAAGAAAGATGCTGGGATTTCTTCCCAGCTGGAGATTGCTTTCGTAAACAGTACGAAGATCAACTTGGATAAAAACATCAACAACGAAGCTGCTATACTCAAAAGTAAAATGAAACAAAAATGAAGCAATTACCATTTAATGGTATCATGCAAATATTATATATGTTTAACTTCTCCGTACAATAGATCACAATTTGAGTCCAGTGGCATCTTTAAGACCAACATGCACACGAAAGCTCACACCTTGAATAAAACTTTGTTGGCCTTAAAGGTGCCACTGGACTCAAACCTTGTTCTCTTGCTGCAGACCAACACGGCTACCCACCTGAAACTTTCTCTGTACAATAAAGTAACTTGCTTCATTATAGGATGATCAGCTGGGGTTTTTGCACCTGGCAAAAAACAGGCCCGTATTTTGTCTGGTTTTCAATTTTCATATTGGAAAAGGACAATGGAACATGCTTATCTTAAACTTTTCAGTTCAGGAATAATTTCTATTTATTATTATTAATTTATAATTTATAAATAATGAATATATTAGTGAACCCTGTTATGAAATAGATAGTGTAGCTGCAAGGGCTAATATTGCGTTACATGCACAACATCTGTAACTTATGAACTTGAACATCGAGTGACAATGCCTCATGTATTCACTCACGTTGTGATATTTAACAATATTTCAACCAGCCCTGGTACTCCCCATGTCATTTCCTAATTAATGTGAGAAGATAGAAAGTTTTGCTGAAACACTTTATTGCCCCTGAAATCCTAATTAAGTGCCTTAAAACTCTGCAAAAATAGCTATGCAAAAGTGTTTGTTAGCATTTTGGATTGACATTTTTGTTAAATCAGTTGTGTTGCTTTCATGTCTAACTGTATGAAATACTTGAAAGGTAGTCACACACTTGTTTTAATAATAGCTTATTAGATGCAGCTGGTAAAAGAAATATATTGTCTCACAATCTTACAGAAGTAAAAATTAGGCCAAATAAAAATAATGCTTTATGGTCAACTAGTGGTAAAATTGCTATGTTTATGCATTTTTCCTTCAAATAAGAAGTGCCCACTGCAATAAAGAATTTACAAACCAAATCCCAATGTTGTCATACTTTTGTCAAACTTAATTATATTTTGTTAGAAACCATTCTGAAAGCTGTATTACAAACTACAGAATTAACACACAATTTCACTTACCAGTTCTATTTTACAGTTGCACAACAAAAGCCAGAAAATGTTTTGCTTTTATCTGTGTTAGGCTGCAGCCTAAGCCACTTATACAACTCTGACTTTTTATACAAGAATTCTAGATTAATGTAATTACATTTCTTTAGACGTTTTGATACAAATAATTGTCTGCTGATAACACACATCTTTCCTGGACGTTGTCCACATATGCTGTTTCAGAATGTCATGCAATATAATTAGAAATCAGGGTGAAACAGCTAAATTTGAATGCTTGCAAATGGAATATTTCATATATAGCCACTGTTCTCTTAATTCATTTTTCAGTTGCTAGTATAACAGCCAAATTGCAGGCCTTAGGAAATCATGCTGTCTAACCAGTCTTCAAGGTCTTCCTCAGTAATACTTTTGGATACAACTTCCTGCTGTTGAGATGCTGCACTTTTTTCTCCAGGCCCACAGAGTTCTAAAGAGACTGGAAACAAATAACAAAATATTATTGAAATCCCATCTCTACAGATGACAAAGCAGAAAAAGCAGGTATAGACATGACTGAGAACCAATGAGAAAACAGACTGAGTTCTGAAAAGCATCAGCTACAAGCTGTAAGCCAACAGCTGCAGAAAGATATAATGGAACAAACCAGGGTCTCCCCATGGAACAAGGGGGAAGGATTACAATAACGGAATGGAAAAGAATCCCTCTCATTGATATTTATGTATTTATTCGATTTTCAGACCACCCTCCCCCAAACTTGGTGCTCAGGGCAGTGTACAGCATTCAAAATTGCAATCAAATTTAAAAACAATAAGCAATAAAACAATTTCATTTCAGATGTCATCTAAAATAAATTGCTTACCCCAAGGGAGGAGGCCAGGCTAACTAAAAAACGTTGCTGCCCTCAACCATAGGCCTGGTGGAACATCTCTGCCACAGAAACTCTGGTATTACAGAAAGTTAGAAGTGGGGACATCAGACATTCCCAAGGGTGCAGACCACATGAGCACTCAGTTTTGTATGGAAGAGACACACACCCCACCCCAAACAGGATTTCACTGGGGTCTCTTCTCAGCTTGGCATGCTACCTTTCTGCACTTGCAGGTGGAAAAGGATCGTGCTGAAAATGTCCTTTATGATTAATTTAAAACTCCAGGTAAAAAAGGTAAATGTAAATACATAATGAGAAAATTATGAGAATCTCACTATATGGACAAGTAACGTGTTGATCTTTTAGCTCACATAGACAGCTCACAAGACTATTTTCGTCTAGTGCACATTTGGCCACCATGTCTGTCGCTCTGCCAACAGGCAACCAGAAGCTGTGGTCAAGCTTTCACAAGAATAAGAAATCTCACTAGTGTTCAGGAACTGAAATGCACAGCTTTATTCACAGTTTCTAAAGAGGCAAAAGGATTATCTACTCTGGTTAATTAATAACAGTAGGCTGGAGCAGGTGTAGTGGGAACTTGCTACTGCCCAAAATTTGCTGCCTGAGGTAACCACCTCAGCTGGCCTTATACATCTGGCCCTGTACACATTAAAGGCCTCCAAGCATGAGCCAGCTTTTCGCCTTCCATCTGAACAGGTGCTCCAGAAGCAGAGGGAAGGATCATACTAAACTTCTTGGTATCTATAAACCCACTCTCAAACGCTGTCTTCTCCAGACAAGTTTATTTTCTTTACTTAGGCTGAAAATACCAGTTGCACTTTTAGCATAAAACAGCGCTTCTCACTGCTGGTGACATTTAGTCTGAAGACTGCAAGTTAAAAGTGCACAACAGAGAAATGCAGATACCTTTCCTTACTGCCCTGAAGGCATCTGTAGCAAGTACTTATTTTGCCAGAGCTCCTTCTTCTTTGGTTTCTTGACCTTAAAAGCTCAGCTTCAGGAGAACAAAAAGGTCAGGCCAATCATCAACAAAATCTCTTTGACTGCCACTTACAGGGCAGATGCTGGCCTGAATTCAGCTGGATTGTCTGTCAGGCACTATCTGCAGGCATTCTAGTCAGGAGGTGCTTCAGGCTCAGGTTCTGGAGCACTAACCCCCCCGCCCCCTGGGCACATGTTCCTGCTCTACCTTATTTAGTGGATAGTATTCAAGGGCCCTTCTGATTACCTGCTATGTGATACAATATGTATGTTTTTAAAAGCTTCATTCTTGACCCTTCCAAACCTTCCTTTTAATCCCTCTGACACCTTTACAGCTACCAAACCTTTCATTACTCCAGTGATCCCAGCCGTAACTAAACTTCAGCCTTACAGCAGCAGAGATGACAAGAAGGTACATGCTCCAGCTCTGTCTGGCCAGTGATAAAAAACACAGCTGACATATGCATGGCCTCTGTTCCACAGGGCCAGCAACAAACTTTGCATTAGAATGGGAACTGATCTCTGAGATAGATAGGTCCTACTTACGAACTCTGGAGGCTCTTATTGAGTTTGTCAGTTTTCTGGAAATGTTCATCAATAAAGCATTCCCTGAGTGCTACTACAAAGTTACAGCTGATAGAAGGTACTGATACAATTGCAGACTATGGAAAAGTTAACACATGATCAGCGGACTAATAGTTTTTTCTGTTTCATCAAAAAAATAGCAGTGTTCCTCTATGTGATTAAAAGAAAAGTACATCAGACGAACAGTATGGAAGAAAATCCTCCTTCCACTACCTCTCCCATATTAAAAGAGTTGCTGGCTTAGGTTCTATACCTGGCTTAAATAGCATCCCTAATCTTTGACAAAGTGGAAGTGGAGATGAGCCTTTACAAGCTTAAAAGGAGTACTGAGAACTGGACAGAGTAAAAACAAAGAGGGAGAGTAATGATAGAAATAATACAAATATCTGGGCTGCAAAATAATATCAAGCATTCTGTGTAATATCCCAATACCAGAAAGTTCACTAAAAAGCCAGTCACTCTAAGCATCTAAACACTGAGCAAGTTGCTCCACTCAGGAGAGGAAGCAATGGGCTAAGAAACGTAGTGGCAAGGGGGGCGGGGTGGGTTGGTTAAAGCTACTGAACCATGCAGGTCCAGGCAAAGGTCCAAGCCTCTGGGCAATAAATAATCCAAATTAATCCAATGAGAATCCCTGACCTAGATAGCCTAGGCTAGCCCAATAACATCAGATCTCAGAAGCTAAACAGGGTTGGCCCTGACCGGTATTTGGATGGGAGACCTCCAAGGAATACCAGGGACATGATGCAGAGGAAGGCAATGGCCAGCCACCTCTGAATGTCTCTTGCCTTGAAAACCCTACGGGGTCGCCATAAATTAGCTGTGACTTGATGGCACTTTCCACCACCAATCTATTGAGAAAGAGAGGGGAAACATGTACATTTCCACAAATATAAGAGAGTGGAAGTATCCAAGCAGCCACTGGGTGTGTCCAGGAGCCATCTTGGTCTAAACAGAAGGGTGGTGCTTTGGTCATAACTCTATAGATCAGATCAACTTGAGAAAAGTAAACCTCTCTTTGAGAAATGCTAACATGACAAGCCTCTTTTAAGGCTAAAGGCACATACATTAGTTACTAAGAGGCCCTGATTGACAATCTGATAGCCAGATAATGGGCTAGGCTAGAATCTAACTAGCATGACTAAGTTACAAACAGTCCTAGTCATAGAGTGCCTTTGTCTTGGAAATGGCTGGAGCTCATTTACTGGCCTACTCTGACACACAGAGGAGGCCATCCTGACATCGATATAGGGTAACAGGAAGAGGAATCAATATGGATAAATACTGGCAACAGGGGATCAAGGAACATCCTTGATATAACCCTCCCTAAATAAAATCCTTTCATGTAAATGATTCATCATTGGGATATGATTACACAAAATTAAAAGTGAAAGGTGACTTTCTCAAGTAAAAAGGTCCCAGACTTGATGGGAAAATACAATGAGAGTTTGCCCCAGCAGAACTGGTGAGATGGGCATGTGAAGAGGTGGGAACCCAACATATTTTAATATATTTAGGAGAGGGGGTCCCCAGTAGAACAGTCTCCCCACTTCAACATGCTAGAGCTTGATATTATGTAACCAATTCTTCAGTTTGAGGGAAGAATGTCCAGGTTAAGTCATACAACATGAGAACTGTAAACAAGCAAGGGGAAATAATTGGGACCCTGGAGCTATATCTAACTTTGATCATAACCTCTTAGATGTGAGCCACTCCAAGCAGGCAGACTAAATGATCATGATATAGGTTTAATCAAATGGTCTAAAAGGAGAATACCTAAAGAGACAAAGACTGAAGTCTCAGAAAGACCAAAATGTGTTATTTAACACATAAAAGATGCATTCTTCAATAGAATGAGGGAACTGCTAGAATTGTATTGGAGGAGAGTTTTATGGATACCATGCACCACCAAAAAGGCAAATAAGGGGTTTCTAGATCACATCAAACCTGAACTCTCCTTAGAAGCTAGAATAACCAAACTGAAGCTATCATACCTTGGTCACACTGAGAGAAGTCAAGAGTCAATGGAAAAGATAATAATGCTATGAAAAGTGGAAGACAGCAGGAAAAGAGGAAGTCACAATATGGATTGATTCAATAAAGGAAGCCATGGCCCTCAGTTTGCAAGACCTGAGCAAGGCTGTTAAAGACAGGACATTTTGGCAGTCAAGTTCAAATCTCCATTTCTCCCATGGAAGTTCATTGGGTGACCATGGGCCAGTCACATTCTCTCGGCCTAACCTACCTCACAGGGTTGTTGTGAGGATAAAATGGAGAAGAGAATGATCTCAGGCGCTTTGGGTCCCCATTGGGGAGAGAGTTGGGGGGATTAATGAATTCAATTGATGGACAGATGGAGAGATAGATTCATGAATATTCAGTAGTCCTTTATCCTGACTAAGACTTCAGGCCTTTCTTTTTTCAAGGTTTGGTGCTGCCCTGTCTCTGCCTTAATTGTTCTTATTCTCAGAAGAAAGTCTGGTTCTCACTGGATTATCCTTATTTTCAGGTTGGACTGTTTCACAGTAGACCTCTGCCCCCCTTCGTTAATTATGGCAAAGTCAACAGAGGCAAAAAAAATGCCTGTATTTCTTCTAAACAGATTTAGTGCTACATTTTGAAAGCTTCTAAGCATTCAGTTCCTCTGTTCCATTACAGTTCACAGTGTACTCAACTAAGGGTGCAGCCCTGGGCTCTACAATTCACAGCACCGTGGGAGGTGGTACAGACTACAGCTACAGAAACCTAAATATTCCTTTGTGCAACTTATCTGTACTATAGCATTCACACTGACCTGCTTGGCCACCCTTCACTGCATCCAAACATACTACCTGGCAGATTTTATTGGTTAGCAGAACTTAATCACATGGGTACTTTATGATCCCCTAGTTTATTAACATGGCTACTTTAAGATTCCCTCTTAATGTTTTCTCACTTTCTCTGGCACACTGCATCAAATGTATTGGGTGGCCATGAGTCCCTAAGGGCAAGTGAGAAAATTCAGAGTCAATTTAAAAAAATCCCCAACAACCGTTTGCAGGAGGAGATTTCAGATATTGTGTGTGTCTAGGAACCGTGCAAAGGTTATTTCTAAGAAGGAATGCTCAAAAACGAAACTAAACATTCCAAAAGCATTGATGCAGACACAGCCTTAGCTACAGAATAAAAAAATTGGAACACATAGTAATGAAGACAAGCTGTCCTCCATTGATGATGATAACTGGCTTTACCCAATAGTGATGGCCCTCCCTTAGAGGCCAACCCTGAATATTTAATTGCATCATATTAAAGCAGTCTCTATATCATGTGTCAGCATGCCTCTGGAGACTATGTACTTCAATAAACACCTAAGCCACATAAACTGTCAAATTATGGGCCAGTAATGCCTCCTTAAACTCAAATGCCAGGCTTATGTATAAAATGTAAATAACGTTTGCGAACTGCAAAGGAAGAGACAGAAAAAGTGGATATTTCAATATGGTAAGATGATTTCTGAAGGATAAAGATATTAGAATCTGTTGAAATACAATGCAGATCAATACCCTGAAATTCAAAAGGCAAGTAAGAATGAAGATAATTGGGCAAGTTCCTGCTTAAGTATAAACTAAAGCACCACTACAAAACTTTTTAAAATAATCCAAATTAACAGAGGGAGCTCACCATTGTCGTCATGAGATATTTTCAGATCTTGCTCTAACTCTTCAGCCTGGGACACTGCTTCCATTACAGAGCTGGTTTCATAATCAACAGGAGCATCCAATTTCAGGAGTAAATCAAGGTCTTTGTCCAATTGATCTGTTCCTTGGTGTGAAACTAAAGGGCTTTTCTGGAGGGCCTCTGAAGAAATAATTTCAAATCCATCTTTATTAGGCTGCATCAAGTGGCTAGCAGAGACTGTGGCAGAGCAACTACTTGGCACAACTGGACTTTGCCCCACAAGCTGCTGTAACTGAGCACCACTCCTCTTGGAGATGTCATTACTTTTTGATTTAATTGGAGGGAGTGTGACAGGCATTGCATCCTAGGAGTACAAGAAAAGCAAGTTAAGCAATGGGGAACTCTCTTGAAATGTCCCACAATTACTCATAATAGAAAAGCCATTTAAATATAAAAACCCGACTATTTCTCAAAAATGGAATATATCATTTGTGCTATACTGAAATGAAATGTACATTGCTTGCAGACTCAAGCTATAAAGAAAAAGCAGTAAGACAGTCATTTAGTACACTCATTCAGTTAGAACCGACTTGATTATTTAAACATTATAAGAAGTTCCATTTCTTTCTCAACTTTTATAATGATGTCCTTTTATGATATGTTTATTTATACTACATTACATATCCTTTTATGTTCATTGGGGGGGTAAGGGCTTGGATATACTACACTGTGTTCATGTGTTGTTGTTTTATCCTTCTAAGGAAAATATTAAAAATGTGAATAAACTTGAAGTAGAGAAAGATGAATAAGCAGAGTTGTAGTTTGGCAGGGTTTTTTCCCCAGTTGGTAAAATATTAATTAGATTCTTCTTATGAGACTGGTCCATATTTTAATTCTATTACACAGTAATGGAAAGAAAAGCTTCAGGTTGTTAAGCAACAGGGCTGGTGTCACAGGTTGGCATAGTTAAAACACCCGCTTAACATGAGAGCTTAACATGTCTGGAGAATTATAGATGTTTCCGGGGTAAACATCCACCACCTCAACCAAAGGCCCGGTGAAGGCCCACAGCCCGGAAGAACATATGAGGGCACCAGAAGAAATAAAGCTGACAGCGAACAGGTGATTAAATGTCTCTGGTCTGGGAAGGCTCATCTCTAAGAGATGAAGGGTAGCTGTTACTGTTCTAGAGGGAAGTGGATTAGGACTGGCCACTGAGAGAGTGACAGACAATATTGACTGCCTGACAAGGTCTACAGGCCACAGGAGGAAGGTTGAGAGCTTAACATGTCTGGAGAATTATAGATGTTTCCGGGGTAAACATCCACCACCTCAACCAAAGGCCCGGTGGAACAGCTCCATTTTGCAGGCTCTGCAGTACTGTAACAAGTCCTGCAGGGCCCTGATCTCAATGGGGAGCGCGTTCCACCAGGCTGGGGCAAAAAAGGCCCTGGCCCTGGTTGAGGCTAAGTAGACATCTTTCAGGCCAGGGACTACCAGTTGATGTTGGTCTGCTGAGCACAAGGCTCTCCGGGGCATATATGGGGAGAGATGGTTCGGAAGGTATGTTGGTCCCAGGTCACGTAGGGCTTTAAAGGTCAGCTGCATTCTACACTAGCTGGAGTTTCCGGGTCAGGTTCAAGGGCAGTCCCGCATAGAATGAGTTACAGTAATCCAGCCTGGAAGTGACTGTTGCACGGATCACTGTAGCTAATTCCCGGGAGGAGAGATAGGGAACAAGTTGCCTGACCTGTTGTGGATGATAAAAGGCAGACCTGGCAACAATGGCAACCTGGGCCTCCATTGAAAGAGAGGCATCCAGGGTCACCTCAAGGCTCCTCGCCCTCGGTGCTGGCATCAGAGGTGCCCTGTCAAGTGTCAGGAGCTGAATTCCCAATCCCAAGCCCCCATGGCTCAGGTACAGGACCTTTGTCTTAGTTGGATTCAATCTCAATCGGCTCTGCTGTAGCAATCCAGCCACAGCCCCTAATGCCCTGTCCAAATTATCTGAGGTGGAGTCCAGATGGTCATCCATCAACAAATAGAGCTGGGTGACAACCCAGCCCAACCGCCTGGACTAACTGGGCGAGGGGGCGTATATAGATGTTAAACAACACTGAGGAGAGTATTACCTCCTGTGGCACTCTGCATTCCAGCGGGTATCGCAGAGACACTCTCTCCATGGTAGAGCAGTTCCCCATATCCCTACATCGGTGAGATCGTAATCAACTGTGTCAAACACTGCTGTCAGATCCAGGAGCAACAGCAGCACAGACCTGACTGGATCCAGTTGTCTGCAGAGGTCATCTGTGAGGGCAACCTGCATGGTCTCTGTCCTTTGGCCAGGACGGAATTGGACTGGAAGGGATCCAGAATGGAAGCGTCATCCAAGAAAGCCTGGAGCTGCTCAGCCACTGCTCTCTCAACCACCTTACCCAGAAATGGCATATTCAAAGCCAGGTGGTAATTAGCAAGGACCACAGGGTCCAATGGTGTTTTTTTCAAGAGTGGATGTACCACTGCCTGCTTTAACCCTACTAGGAATATCCCTGAACACAGGGATAAGTTAACAATATCTCCTAGGAGAGCCCAAATAAGTTAACAATATCTCCTTGACCAGCCAAGACAGGCACAGGTTCAGGAGGCAAGTGGCAGACCTCACAGCTACTGGATTCCTGTCAACTTTCTCCAGGGAAAGCAGGTTGAATTGGTCCAAAAGTAGACCAGAAGACAGGTAAGGATTTCCAGTTCCCTTATTGTATCAAGTTTGGTGTAGTGGTTAAGAGTGGCGGATTCTAATCTAGAGAACCGGGTTTGATTCTCCACTCCTCTATGTGCACCCAGCTGGGTGACCTTGGGTCAGTCACAATTCTCTCAGAGCTATTCTCTCAAGAGCAGTTCTCTCAGATCTCTCTTAGCCCCACCTACCTCACTTGGTGTTTGCTGTGGGGAAAGGAAGGGAAGGGCAGGAGATTGTAAGCTGCTCTGAGACCCTGAGTGAAGGGTGGGGTATTAATCCAACTCTTCTTCTTCTTCAAATGTGGCCAGGAGGTCCTGACCGAGCACTGAGATTTTGTCTGTGAAACAGTTTACAAATGCCTCACAGCCTATAGCCAATTCCCTATCATTATGCTTGCCTTGAGGCAAGGTAGTTAAAGACCGAATTGTTCTAAATAATTGAGCAGGGCAAGAGTTTCTTAGCCGCCTTCACTGCCATCTCATAGGTACATCAGCCAGATGTTCTCGTGGGATCATCACGAGCCCACTGCCACCCTTGCTCTAGCTATCTCAGCTCTTTTCCCATCCTCCGTAGCTCTGGATTATACCATGGGCCCGGAGAGGGTGCCGGAGGGTGATTTTGTCAATGGCTTCAGAGAGTCGGCTGTGCCAATCCTCCATCAGCTCATCCAATGAACCACCAGGGGGCATTAGATCCTGCAGAGCATTCTGGAATTCATTAGGATCAAGTAGTCTCTGCAGGTGAGCATAAATCTGCTTGCCACCTAAACAGGGTGGGGTTGGGATACTCAGCCGGGGCATCAGGGAAAAGTGGTCTGACCATAGAACAGCATCAGCTGTTACCAGATCCATATTTAACTCCTTGCCAAAAATAAGATACAACATATGATCCACTTAGTGTTTAGGAACCAATACAAATTGGGAGATTAACAGTGACACCATGGATGACACTATGTCCCCAGCCTGAGAGGAAGCTGCACCATCAGCATGGACATTAAAATCCCCCAAGACTAGTAGTCTGGGGTGTTTCAATGCCCAGCCTGAAATGGCCTCCCTGGCAGGGTATCTGTTGGTGCTTTCGGCAGTCGGTACATCAGCCAGATAGCCAAACTCTCCTCGGCTTTCCACACAAACCCAACACATTCAATGCCAGCGATTTTTGGAGTGGGGAGTGCCCTGAAGGAGAAAGACTCCTGGATAAGCACTGCCACCCCCCGCCCATTAGTCCGTGAATAGTGAAGGACAAAAAAACCCAGGGAAGAGATCTGGGAAATTAGAGGCCAGTCAGTCGAACATCGATATCAGGTAAGTTGGTGGAATTCATTATTAAAGATAGAATTAGTAGGCACATTGATGAAGAAAAGGTATTGAGGCTGAATCAGCATGGATTCTGTAAGGGAAGATTTTGTCTCACTAATCTTTTAGAGTTCTTAGAGGGGGTGAACAAACATGTGGACATGGGTGACCCAGTAGATGTTGTTTACCTAGACTTCCAGAAAGCTTTTGATATAGTTCCTCATCAAAGCCTCCTACGTAAACTCAGCAGTCATGGGATCAGAGGATAAATCCCCTTGTGGATTAAAAACTGATTAATTACAGGAAACAGTGAGTATAAATGGGCAGTTTTCACAGTGGAAGGTGGTAAGAAGTGGTCTAGGTCTGGTGCTTTTTAACTTGTTTATTAACAATTTGGAATTGAGAGTAAGCAATGAAGTAACTAAGGCTGACTCTAGTTCAGAGCGATGAGAACCGGGAAGGACTGTGAGGCACTCCACAAGTATCTGTCAAGGCTGGACAAGTGGGTATCAATATGGCAAATGAGGTTCAGAGTGGGCAAGTGCAAAGTAATGCACATCAGAGCCAAATATCCTAACTATAAATATACATTGAAGGGTTCCAAAGTGGTGATAACTGACCAGGAGAGAGATCTTGGGAGTCATGGTAAACTCGTGGGCACTCAATGAAAGTAATGAACAGTAGACTTAGAACAGATCGAAGAACTTCCTTTGAGCTGCACAAAGTAATTAACATGTGGAATTCACTGCTGCAGGAAGCTGGTGGCAGCTACAAACACAGACTACTTCAAGAGGGGATTGGATAAACATATGGAGCAGAGGTCCACAAATGGATATTAGCTTCAACATAAAGAGAGAACACTGTGTTTGGGGCAGTGATGCTCTGTATTCTTGGTGTCTGAGGAGCAAGAGTGGGAGAGCTTCTGGAGTTCTGGTGTCACTGGTGGACCCCCTTATGGCACCTGGGGTTTGGCCACTGTGTGACACAGAGTGTTAAACTGGATGGGCCATTGGCCTGATCCAACATGACTTCTGAGAAATGGAAGATTGCCCAGAGAGCCCTCCGATGACATGGGCTTCTGGGGCAATCTCCCATTTCCCAGTAGGAGGAATGCTGCCGCAGGGTACAGCCTTTCTCATATGTCCTTCAGCACCATTAGTATGATGAGAATGACACTACACTGTTTCAGTGTGATGTCATAGGGGCCTCACGGGCAATCTCTCATTTTCCAAAAGGAAGGACACCGGAAGCAAGTAGCTCTTTGCTCTCTTTTTAGCATTGAAGTGCCCTTGGATAGCCCATGAATATCGGCAGCCCTCCCTGCTAAACAATGTAGACCTTTGCTCATTGATTACCAAGACACTATCACAATACAACAACTGAGGCCAGCACACTGCTCGATTCAGATGCAAAAGAAAAAAGGGAGTTAAATCTGTCTGTCTGGATTTCAGTGACGTGCTGCTCCTAATCATATGCTGCATGAGAATCTTTTACTTTGTAACAGAACTGAATGTCCCTAAAGGCATTTAAGAAAGCCAGCCAATGCCTCTGCTCAATTAACAGTAGGAAAAGGAATGATACCCAGCCTTGGCATTTCGCTAGTAAAAAAGCATTTCACATGCAAAACAAATACAAATTTCCCTACTACATTCACAGAAATGCCTTTGAGCTGCACAAAGAAAAAAGTGAGCAGTGTCAGTGTCTGAATCACTTTTGGTGTTCCCACAAGGCAGCCAAATGGCTCTCAGAAGTTATCCAGCCTTCCCTTTCCAGTTCAGATTGATTTTTCTAGCTTTTGATGAACTGTAATCTTAGATGACAGCCATCCTTAACTCCTAGCTCTCTTCCCTCTACCTGAATATTTTCTTTTACATTTGAAGAAACACTTTGTTGTCATGTTTCTGCCTAATATTCTGAACTCGGGGCCTAAAGAACAATTTGAGATATGCCTGACTGGCAGCTCCAGTGCTGAACCAGGAGCCACTGTACAGTATGGATACACGGAATCCTATATAGGTCAGCAAAAGTTAAAATAGAGGAACAGAACCCAACACACATTTCATTTTGACACTGTTCTCTGTTTTCAGTGCTCTGTTCCTAAGAAACAGGAACGGTGGGGGAAACAACCAAATTAGAACAAGCAACTCTTTGGGGATGCTAGCTTTGACCGAGATGCACCCGGCATGCGGAAAACACTTTGTTTAAAGGACGCAGCGAAGCATAAGAAGTGCTGACACTTAAGACTTCCATTTCACAGGCCTCCTCCCTGTTAGACCCAATGCAGCATGTGTATATGGCAACACAGGCCAATGTAAATTTCATGGTACTTATGAGCAGGGTAGGAATTACCTGCACCAGATCAGCAGCCACATTTAGTTTGAGATGCAGAGACAGCTCTTCCAATGCTTGGGCCAAAGACTCGCAGTCAGCATAGAACCCAGGCAACTGAAATAAAATGAACACACAATAAATTAGGTCAAATCAGTATGAAAATTTGTTTCAAAAATACCTTGCTTACCCCCAAATTTCCCTATTCACTACCATGAAGGCGGCAGAACCACATACGATCTCCTCCCTCACTAAAGTGAAGTGGGAAGCCCATGAGGCAAGAATTCCAAATTGGAGGATAAGCAAAGCTCTAAAAATGTGGAAGAACCCAGACCAGGTGAGGTCTATCTTTGCAACAAATACAAGAACTAGGAACCATGGGATTATCAGAAACAATTCAAGAATTAGAAAGCCACCACAGAAAATGGGCAGATGCATAGAGGCATAAGCTTTAGGGCAGGGCCCAGATTTGTATTTCCTCTAACAAAGCAATTACAGCAGGGTCTTCATAGAGCTCAAAGTCTGCATAGCTTTATACTTCGTCTTTGCCATCTGTACTAACTTGAAGTCTGAAATATGCTCAAGTAGAAATATAATGTAAGGCTATTCATCTCACTGTAATTATATTTTAATATGAGAAATCAGCTTTTCAAATGAATAGATTATATCGTCTACTCATCAAATGACATGTCAAAAGTCTGTGACAAAAGGTATTTGACTGATATGCAAGTGTGAGATAACCACAAAATAGTAATAATTTGATTTAAAATGTGGATGAAGTTTCAAAATGTCTTAGACATGCACAGACTTAAACACAGATTTGATGAAAACCCAGAAAATGCCACAGCTATACATTGCATCAGATACAGGGTTGCAATAAAAACAGCATCCTTGCATCTTATTTATTACAAGAATTACACCCCACTTCTCCCAAAATACAGTTAAATCTCATTAAGCTCACTCCTCAAGAAAATGATTGAAGTTTAAACCCCATTAAAAGCCCTCACAAATAAAATGGCCTTACAGTGCCTCTTAAAAACATCTTAAGATTATATCCTCTGTACTTCCCTAGGGAGACTGTTCCATGAAGTAGGAGCCATTAAAGAGAAAGATACCAAGCGTGCTATCTAAAGCAGGGAAACAACTAGAAGGTGGCAATCAGAAAATTGTGTGTGTGTGTGTAAAATTTAGCATTAGAAAACTCAATTGAGGACAGCATTAATTTTAATATCAATAGAGTGGACACAGGGAGGTATAGCAGCAGAAATCAGACAGGCGAGGTAAGGAGAAGGGAATTCAGATACTAGTGAGCTCTGATCCTTCCTAATCAGCTTCCCCCAAGAAGGGTTGCCAACCGATGCTGGTTAATTTGGTGTCTGTGGTGGAGTTGGAGTTCCTTGGGCTGTTGCTCCTGAGGAATATAATGTCTATGACGAAGTTTGTACTGTGCAGAGCTGCGCAGGATTTCCATAGCAACCACAGGTCTCTCTCAATTAACACACATAGCATTACATATTCTGCACTTGGAAATGAAGGAGTTTAATGTGGTTCTATTGTTCTGGACAAATCAATATGGGGTTTTAAACTAAGGACAGTGTAGAATCCTTAGATCCAAAAAATATTCTGGCAGCTCAGGGGATTTGTCAACTGGCATGGGTAGCAATTGTGCTGCAAAACATATTGGCTCCTGGAACGGGAGGCCACGTGGGTAAGTAAACATGATTTGTCCTAACCATCTTATCCTACATTCTAAGGGATAAAATGCCTCTGATTCTCTGAATACCTAGGGGTTAGGAAGTGACTGAGACACTAGCTTGAGCAACAGCGGAAGAAAACTGGAGCTTTTCCATCTTGGCTGCACTCTTCTTTCTAGTGTACTTATTTATCTTCATTCCTTCCCCTTCTCCCTCTGAGCTGGAATGTCATATTCACATTCAATTCACATTCACAGACACAACACAATGGGTTACACAGTCTGAAAGGGTCTGATTTTCCTACTATTTTCCTCCAGGTTAGTACACAGCATCACTCTTGTTGCATGGCATAATGAAGCAGAGAATGGCCAAAGAATCCATTAAATATTTCTTATTGTTATAACTCAAAACTCTTTTGTCATCGGCTTTTGTTAGACCACAAGTAAACATGCATTTAGAATGCTGTCATCAAATAATGAGGTCCATCTACCCAATTACTTGGTGAGGATGAGACATCCAAAATAGTTGCTGATTCCTGACAATGTATTGATTGGAATGTAGCTGAATATTGCTATAACTGGAAGGTCCTGTTGTTACTTCCACATGGAAGGAAAGATCGTAAACTGTCATTCATGCCATCTAAGCTAGACAACTACAATGAGCTCTACATGTGTCATCCCTTCCTGAGTGCCTAGATAATGGGGCTGCACTCAACTGTAGTGGTTGTTCATGGGAGACTAGCGAGCTGACTTACCAGTCCTAGGAAGGCAGGTTTGAGCTCTCCACTGAATGCAGACTGCAGGACCACTTTTCCCACCACTGCATCTCTCATGACATTAATGTCCATGGAGCAGTGCTTTGCAAAGGTGAATGAGGATGATCATGTTGCAGCCTTGCAGATAGACTCTGTGAAAAGCAGCCAAGACGGACTGGGCTTGAGCAGAGTGAGCATGATGCTGCAGTAGGCAGTCAGCTTGTGCTAATTTATAACACAATTATTTTGGGGAGAAACTGGAGCAAAGTTCAAAAGATTACTTGAGTATCAAAGACTTTCAGATAAGGCGAGTCATGTCACAGCACCTGGAATTCACTGACCCTTCTGGCTGATAGATCCAGTTGGTCAGCCATGTTGGTCTGACGTAGTACAACAAATTTAGAGTCCAATGGCACCTTTAAGGCCAACAAACCTTCTAGCTGATGTGATGGCAATCAGAACCACTATTTTCATGGTGAGGAGACAGAAAGAGCAGGTGGCCATGGGTTCAAAAGGTTTGCCCATGAGTTTTGAAAACAAGCAACAAGCTCCACTGAGGAACTGAAGGTCGGTCTGGGAAAATTGATTTAGTAACCCCTTAAAGAATATTAGTTGCTGTAGATTTTCCGGGTTGTGTGGCCGTGGTCTTGGCATTGTAGAGCCTGACATTTCGCCAGTAACTGTGACTGGCATCCTCAGGGGTATAACACAGAAAGATGGAGTACTCTCTGTGTCAAGGTGAGAAGAAAATGGCAGGCAGGTAATTTATATATACTCCAGAAGGAAATAGAATAGTTTGGATTCCCTCTGTGTGAAAGGGATCTCCTTTTGATGGAGATATGAAAGCATGCTGTGGAGTCAAAGTAGACCCTTAAATAGGTGGATGAGAGTCACCCCTGGACTAGGACCGGGAGATATTAGAGGATGCTTTCAATGGAACATATGACCAGGTCTAATTGCTAATCCTTGGCCCACATACAGAAGCATCTACATTTGACAAAATAAGAATTCCAGATGAACAGCTTTCTGGCATGGAGCAGAAAGTGTTTCATGGGTTCAGGGAATTGGTGGTTGATTAATATTTGGGTGCAGGAATGGTCCCTGTAGAAGGAGGCTGTGCTCCTTGGGAAGGAGGAAGTACCTGTTGGGGGTCTGCACTCGGAGTGTTGGGAACCATATTTGCCTTGGCAAAAATGAAACTATTTAGATGGCTGATGTGTGCTCTTGCCTCACCTTGTAGAGGAACCTGGGGATTAGTGATAGGGGAGGAAATGTATACAGCAGGCCCACCGTCCATTGGATCTGAAGAGCATCCCTCAGGGAGCTCAGGTACCATGCACCTTAGGAACAAAAGAATTTGCATTTTCTATTTTACTTGGAGGCCTGACTTCAAAAAGGATGTGGACAGAATGGAGCAGGTACAGAGTAGAGTGACGAGGATGATCAGGGGCCTGGAGACTAAGCCCTATGAGGAAAGGCTGAAGGACTTGGGAATATTCAGTCTGGAGAAGAGGAGGTTGAGGGGGGACATGATTGCTCTCTTTAAGTATTTATAGGGCTGTCACTTAGAGGAGAGCAGGAAGCTGTTCCTGTTGGCAGCAGAAGATAGGATTCACAGTAATGGGTTTAAATTAAAGAAGAAGAAGAAGAAGAGAAGAGATTGGATTTATACCCTGCCCTTCACTAGCCAAAGGTGTCTCAGCGTGGCTTACAAACTCCTTTCCCTTCCCCTCCCCACAACAGACTCCCTGTGAGGTAGGTGGGGCTGCGAGAACTCTTGACAGAAACTGCTCTTTTTCCAGGACAGCTGTGTCAGAGTTATGGCTTGCCCAAGGTCATCCAGCCAGGTGCAAGTGGAGGGGTGGGGAATCAAACCCGGTTCTCCCAGATTAGAGTCCGTGCACTTAACCAGGCTGGAAGGTACTAGCTGGATATTAGGAAAAACTTTTTTACAGTAAAGTTATACAACAGTGGAATCAGCTGCCTCGGGAGGTGGTGAGCTCCCTCTCACTGGCAGTCTTTAAGCAGTGGCTGGACAAACACTTGTCAGGGATGCTCTAGGCTGATCCTGCATTGAGCAGGGGGTTGGACTAGATGGCCTGTATGGTCCCTTCCAATTCTGTGATTCTATGGTAAGTACAGTTCAGCCTCTTGCATATAATAATAATTTACCATTACCTGTTTAGGGCAAAGGTTTTCTGTGATCCACTCCTTTTCTTCTGCAAATCTGAACTGTGTAAAGGAATCACCTATAATAACAAATGTAAAAACATACATATATAGCACATATGCTGTAAAATGAGTTGTAGAAATGTGGACAGGGTTCAGTATGGCAATTAGAATGTGGCTCCAGCATCCTATCTGAAGAGTTTGATGTATTTGTTAAAAGTGTACTGATTAAAAATTAAAGACCCACACACCTACCCTAAAATAATCTTACAACATTTAATTAATTTTAATGTAACTTAAAACTAAAATTATTTTTAAATTCATTTCATTGGGCTTCTAGCCTGCCCTAAGCTACAAGCAGGCTCAGGGTGGGTTACAGCAGATAATAAATACATGATCTAATTTCTAAAACTACAAAACAAGCCTTAGACAACTGTAAAACATCAATAAATAACAATTATAACAACTGGTGGTTTCAACCAGTTATTCTATATCCAACTGCTCCCGTATAAGTTCCCCACATGTGTGCGGATGGATGACAATTAGTGTGGATGGGGCAGACAAAGGACAAATAGATTGTCCATAATAAGCAGAGCAAGCAATGCAGAGAGGGGGAAGCCAAGATAAATAAATCTACACCACCTCAGCCATCGGCCTGGTGGAACATCTCTGTTCTGCAGGCCTTGCAGAACTGCATTAAGTCTTGCAGGGCCTAGATCTCAGCATGAAGAGTGTTCCACCAAGCCAAAGCCAAAAAGGCTCTGTGTAGAGCATAGTCCTGTGTGGAGTGTGCTACAGTAGTCCAGCCTGGAGGTGACCATTGCATGGGTCACTGTGGCTAGGTCAGGGGGAGAGAGATAGGAAGCCAGTTGCCTGATCTGGCGAAGATGGAAAAATGTTGATCTGGCAACATTTGTGACTTGAGCCTCCATAGATAATGAGGCATCCAACATATCAACCAGACTCTGTTGGCACGGGTACCAACAGCACCCCAACAAGAGCCAGGAGTTGGATCCTCACTCTCGCCCCCCTCCCAGCCTAGGCATGAAATCTCCGTCTTCAATGGATTTAATTTCAGCTGGTTCCATTTTAATCACCCAGCCACAGCCTCCAAAGCCCCAGCCAGAATATCTGAGGTGGAGTCCAGTAGGCCATCCATTAACAGATATAGCTGGGTGTCATCAGCATACTGATGGCAGCCCAGTCCAAAGCTCCAGACCAACTGGGCGAGAGGGCGCATATAGATGTTAAATAATATGGAGAAAGGAATCGCCCCTTGTAGGATGCTGCATACCAAGGGATGAGACTATTTCCCCAAGCACCATCCTTTGTCCCCAACCGTGGAGAAAAGAGACAAGCCACTATAAGGCCGTCCCACATATCCCCACATCAGCGAGGCGGTGGGTCATAAGATCATGATCGACCTAACTGAACACTGCTGTCAGATCAAGTAATAACAGCAGCACTGTTCCGCCTTGATCCAGGTGCCTCCGGCTGTCATCTGTTAGGGCGACCAACAGTGTCTCCATCCCATAGCCGGGAAGGAAGCCAGACTGGAATGGATCCAGGATCAAAGAGTCATTCAGGAAAGCCTGAAGCTGTTCAGCTACCACTCTTTCAACTACCTTACCAAGGAATGAAAAATTTGAAACTGGGCTGTAGTTGGCTGTATCAGTGGGATTCAGGGATGGTTTCTTTAACAGTGGTCTCACCACAGCCTCCTTTAAAGCCCCTGGGAAGGTCCCTGAACTCAGGGACAAGTTGATAATATCTACTGGGGGGGGGCATATCCTATCACTGCTGACTTTTATGAGTCATGATGGGCACGGATCCAGAAGACATGTGGTCCCCCTGACTGGATCAGTGGGATCCAGGGATTGTTTCTTTAAGAGTAGTCTCAGTACAGCCTCCTTTAAAGACCCTGGGAAGGTCCCTGAACTCAGGGACAAGTTGATAATATCTGCCAGGGGTGCCCATATCCTATCACCACTGGCTTTCACGAGCCATGATGGGCATGGGTCCAGGAGGCAGGTGATGGGCTTCACAGCCCCCAGAATCCTGTCAACCTCATCCTGGGAGAGTCAGCTGAAGTGGTCCATTACTGGATGTGAAGACAGCTAAGAAGCCTCCAGTTCTCATACTGTACTATCACTAGTGGCTGGCAGGTCCTGGCGGTGCGACAAGATTGCTAATAGCCAAATTATTATCTTTTCACCCCTTGAATGATCTAATTATTCTGAACTGTTGAGCTGGGCAAGAGCTAGTGGATGCAACAGAATTCCTTCTTTGTCTCCTTCACTGTCATCTCATAGGGTTTCATAAATGTCCTATAAGATGTCTTTGCAGCTTCGTCACAAGTCCACCGCCACACTCGCTTAAGCCATCTCAGCTCCTGTTTCATCTTTCACAACTCCAAGGTATACCACAGGGCTAGTTTGGTATGGGAGCAAAGATATATAAATAAAATAGATAATAAATAAATTACATCAAAAATAAATAATAATTATAACAAAATAATATGACATAAAAACCATCTGTGGTAGTGGCACCAAAACTTTGGAATGCCCCCCCCCTCCATCATGCTTGGATACATATCTTTTGAACCTTCAAAAGAGCAATGAAGATTATCTATTTTGTTTTTAGCTACTTTTTAAAGTAAAACACACTAACTGAGCTATTGCAGGATATGCTGTCTTTATTTAGAATCCACTTCATTAGACACATGACCTGAATTCCTAGTGAGTATATATATCCATAGAGGAAGCAAAACTCTGAACAGCAGAGTGAAGAGGAACAGCATGCACGAGGTATGATCTCTGTCAATTCTGTGCAAAACTCAAAAGTATATAAGATAGGCAGAATGAAAGTGGTCTGTTGATCTTCAATTTTAGTTTCTACAGCACCACTGGTCATTTGCTTTTAAAATCAGCTGCCTGATTACTGATGTTTTTCAGCCAGCCCTTCTATTTTATAGAATATTTGCAACTATAAATTTTGATTTCATTGTAAGCTCTTTTAAGGGTTTTACTGTGGAAAAGAACACACATTTTTAAAAATAAACATATAATCCAGAAACTGCAAAATGACTTGAAGAAAAGTAGACAGGATTCTGTGTGAAATTATAATGCCAAACCACATCCTTAATTTTTTTAAAAGTAATGTCTTTAAACCAACAAAAATAAAAGGTAATTAAACATATGTTTATTTGTTTATTAAAATGGATTTTAAACTGCCCTCCTCCATAAAGACAGGGCTCAGGGTGGTGGAAAAAATACATATAATTAAAACTGTTAAAACAGTAAAAATAAAATATCCATCTAAGTGTGCAACAAACAGGAAAGAAATCCATCTGAATGAAAGTTAAATTTCATGGTCACCACCAGCGAGACTTTAATATTCCACAGAAGACTGAAAGATACAATGGGTCTAGAATTTCTGTGCACAACTTCTCCTTTGTACTACTCCTGGGGAACTGTCACCTCCCCCTTTCCACAGCAACCCCAAATACCCCCAAATGCTGCTCTTGGGAGATGAGGTTCCCCCAGAAACAGTATGAAGGGGGGAATTTGGATCCAGCCCAGTAGACTCAGCTGCCCACAGCACACTCCTGCCTACCTCCTTTATTACCACCAACTGAAGTTAAAAAAAAGTTAAGGGACATGGGAAAGGATGGCTTTGACTCACAAAACCTTATACTCTTGAAAATTTTAAGTGCTACTGGACTCAAATTTTCTATGGGCAGATGTAATGTGTACTCATGAAGAAACAATAGAGGAGGCACCACCCCAGGGGAGGAAAGGAAAGGCCCTGGTCAATGGATTCTTATGGAATTTGTTGACCAATTGGGGACTCAGAAGGGCAACAGAGGCCTTCACAGTGGACACTAATCTATTTTGCTAGTGCCTGGGCAGGGTAAAATCTGGACTAGGCTGACTGGGCTGCTGCTGCTTTCGCTTGTGCTTTTGTTTCTTGCATGAGGAGCAACTCCTTTCTGCTTGGACCAGAATCCTTCTTTTGCTGTGTGTTGGGTTTGGTTTAGAGCTAGGTGTTTTTCTGGCTACTGCTGTAATTTTGCTTACTCAGTTTATGTTCAACTTCAGTATTATTTTATTAACTCATTCAGACTTGGGGGTGCCAAGCTGCATATTACCTCAGATTTATTGTCTCCTGCTTGGCACCACCATCACCCGGCCTCCACTGCTGCTCAGTGGGACAACAGGGAAAAAATGGGGAGCAATCAGTGTCACACTGACACTGTAATTTCCCTTTCAGTGAGAACCCAGAAGTGATGTCAGCATATCAGGGCAGCACTCTAGGATTCACCCAAAGCTCTGCAGTAAAACAGTTAAGAGTGACACTGATTATGCTGTCCTCACTCCTCAGACTCTCCCATCAGTTGGCAGTGTTTGGCTGGCAATCTTATATTCAGTGCATGAACTGCATATTTGCAAAGTATGGACTCAGCATATGTCAGCACAATCTGAGATAATATGCAGCTTGATTTCAGTTTTTATTTATTTTTCCGATTAGTAGTGTAGGATCCTTCCTCCCTACCAAGCCCCAATGGGTGCTGACTTGGGATGGGCATGAACCTCGTCACGAGCCTAATTTAGTCACAAACATCACCCAGTTTGTTGTTTGTAAGCAACTGTTTTTTTTTTTTGGGGGGGGGTAACTCCCTAAATCCAATCCTCACCAAACTTGGAGGGCAAGTAGAGGAGAGTCAGCTGGAGACTCGCTGTGAGTTTGGCATGTCTAGCCCACAGGAGGGTGTAGCACACCACAAACCTCACAAACCATGAACTGGTTTGTTAAACAGGAAGGTTTGTGAAGGTTCATGAAGGATCATGGTTCATGAGACCCCACAAACCACGAACTAGGATGAACCTCCGTTTTCCCGATTCGTGCCCATCCCTAGTGCTATTGGATTATGCAAAATTTCTCCCTTGATAATGTTTAGGGTGTATCACTGTACCTTTGGCCTGGAGTGAGCAGGGAAAGAGGCTCACTGACTCTGAACCAGCATAGGTGATGTACTCCTGACCCCATGAAAAAAGTTTCCACATACTGGCCAATATAA